AATATTTTTAAAGACTAACAATATGGTTCCAGTATAGATGATTGGATCCCCTAATTAGTTGGCTTATTTCTTGTATAGGATATTTAATGCTTCCAAGTGGATTTTAGTGTTTGGGTTACATTCAAAATTAAAGGTAAATCACTATAGTTCTATGTGATGTTCCTCAATTTGATAAAGGAGAAGATTTAAGAGACATGAATTCTACTCAATACAGGTATTTGAACATCAGATTACCAATTAGGACCATTCGCTTTCATTTTGATGTACTATCATGCCTTGTACATATATGTTATCCCAAACTTGTCAAAATAAAAAGTTATTTTTGCGATCTCATCTTCCAATATTCCTTTTTCAGCTTTGCAATATGCTTTGCCTTCCGCCATATTAATTCTGTCTAACTGCAAATTTTTGCTCCGCACTGTATGCCCATTTCATAATTTGACTCTAGCTATACTTCTCTTTTCTTCACTCACGATTCAAAATGGTTTTCTCTATATGCTCTTTTGTTCAATATTTTTGGGCTCAATGATAAAGCTAGGGGAACTCAGTGTTATTAAGCCATTACTTCTAATCACACACCCGAAAATTCCCCTACCGACATGGGAACATTATTAGGAACCCTTCGTCGGCAATATAGAACTGAATAGCAAGAACTTTATAAAAATATTTATTAGCTCTCTTAATATACCTGCTTGCTCTATAGATTTTCTAACTGGTTCGAACTTCTGGGTATATGCATTCGGGCTTAGCATACCATCTGAACGGCATCGATGTTGTAATTTATTTTCGCAACTAATTAGATTCAGGCACTTTTCTATCTAAATGTAACAATTTTTATATTTTTCATTATTCTATTGCACAGATGCAATCGTGCAAATACGGTGTTTCTTGCATAATTCTTAGTGGTTTGGTAGTGTTGCGGGATTCGGCCATAGCCACATTTAAAAAGCCTACCTCGTCCATTACAGTGACCAGCTCAGCTCTTTTTAACTCTTGTCCAGGTTCTGCATGAATTATTAAAATTCAATATATCTGAAAATGTCCTTGGTCTCTCTCGCATGGGAGGACTACCCGCTTTCGTATGCATATTTTTATGTCCGAAAGCGCCCTGGTTGAGTTTAAAATCTGGTTTATTAGATTTGAGTCTAGTTTAAATGTGATTATAGCCTCAATTTTGTTTGAAATTTTAAAGAAAACAGTATTATTTCGATTTGACAAGAAGGAAGTTGGAACTTTGTGTTTGTATCCTTTCGGATTATTGGCCATGAAATTGATAAATTTATTTTATTGTCTTTTGGAGGAAGTTTGCCTTTTGTTAGTATTGTTCTGCATCACCTTATTGCCGGCTTGGTCATGCCATTTGTTCAGTTACACTCAGTCGGCCCTAATTGATCATTGCTAAACTTTAATCTCTTCTGCGTAAGATATTAAAATAATAAGCAGGTATATTTAAGCAAACATTCAACAAAGAATGACTTTCTACAAGGTATACTGATCATCGCAATTTCGATTTTAAA